GGAGAAAAAGGAATTTCATTTTCATGGATTTGGGAAGGCAAACTATTTTGCAGGATAAGACAAAGGAGGTTATTATTGCTTTTTGGTCTTTTTTTTTTTAATGAACAAGAATGAAAAGAGGAGATAAAACATGCAATTACTTGGTTCAGATTCCATTTCAGTCTGGTTATTCTCACCTAGAAAGTGTCTAATGGACAGAAGGGGATTGTTGCTGTGGTTTTCACTTAAATACAGCACCCAGCTCATCAGCTTTTTGCTTCTTTATTTATTTGGTATTTCTTTCTTATCTGCATATTCGTTTCTTTGTTATCTGATATTTCTTTTGCATCTTACACAACCAAAACTTTCAGCACTCATTCTTTGCCACCTGTTACTCCTCAGATAATTCCTTTTCCAGTCTTCATTGATGTGAATATTTTTTGTGCCATTCAAGGGCTCTCCTCCACATTAAACCTAATCCAAGCAGTCATGTCCATGGCTGAAATCCTCCCGGTAGTGTTGATGAAGAGGCTTAAAGATTCTCTTGTCTTTTTGCTGTCCTTGCTGAATGCTGTTCCCATCAAAGTAACTGCATATTAATTCACATTGGCTGTAACCAGCTCCATAGGCAAATTCCACAGGTAGATTTCAACCCAGCTTTTCTTTCTTGGGTGATCAAGAAGAGGAGGTTAGAAAAATGCTCACTTGCTGTCCTTCAGCTTTTTCCTTCCCTGCCCTCCTGTACTTCACATCCCCTAGGTTTGTGGATTAACCCTAATGGCACCCCACATTTCGGAAAGACTGTTTTCCTGGTGAGTAGAAGGCACAAAGCTGGAGCAGGAGTGGTGAAGGTACCTCCTCACAACCATAGGTATTTGTCCCTGCAAGGGTGAACCACAATCCTTCGCTATCTCTTTTATCCACTCTGGACGAAACAGACTCAAGTTGCTCCAGAGAAGGCTCAGGTTGGGTATTAGGGAAAATTTCCTGTAAAGGTTTGTCCAGCCCCGGCACAGCCACCCAGGGCAGTGGTGGAGTCCCCATCCCTGGAGAGATTTAAAAGCTGTATGGATGTGGCACTTGGAGATGTGGGTTAGTGGTGGCCTTGGCAATGCCGGGATAGCAGTTGGACTTGGTGATCTCAGATGGCTTTTCCAACTTAAAAAATTCTGTGATTCTCTGTGAAGTTCCTTTGATATCCCTGTTTTCTTCTCCTACTTCTGCTTTCTCTGCCTGTTTTCCTCATTAACAGCAATACAGAAGTACCAACTGCCTTTCTTATTACCTTCATGTATTTTATATTCACATGTCAAATTCTTGAGGAGGGAGCGTGTTTTGTGGTTTATATCTTATTGATGCGATTTTCTCCAGTGCTTCTGATACACAGACTTGAGTCAATTGATTTCTGGCTGTGTTTCCCCAATGAGCCTCCCTCCTGCGTGCACTGAATTGGTTCCCATGTGCATGTTGCAGTGATACCGATTCTGTGTGTGCACAAGCACCCATAAGATTAACTTGCAGAACTGCAATGCAGGTAGCATGGAGATTGTTCAAAAGGAAAAAATAAAAAAATTAAAAAAATCAGGGCTGTTGAATTGCTTTTATTTTTTTACTCATCCTTATAGGAAGAAAATACATGCGGACCATATCATGGCCAAGATCCCGAGAAGTAGGTGAGTGGAACAAAGAGGGGAGGAAATTTGTTGCCCCATGAACCAAGTCTGGGACACCAAATTTTTGCAACTGTATCCCCCAAGCCTGTACAGGTCCACTGCTTCAGCATTTTTTTAGGGAATATTGTGATCTGCACTGCTTCTTCCTGAAGCTGAGGGCTCAGTTTAAACTTTCGGTTTAAAGCTGGATTTTAAGTGAGAGAGGGCAAGTTTAGACTGAATATTGGGAAGAGATTATTCCCTGTGAGGGTGGTGAGACCCTGGCATAGGTTGGTGTCCTGGGGTGACTTTATGATACTGGTATCCCCAATCGTCTGGTTTATGTTATATATTAAGTTCTGCACCTTTAAGACTGGCTTTGAGAGCAAGAGAGGGGGAAGAAGAAGCGCACAGTGTGTTAAGGAAAACATCACTCCCACACACCCCGCTCCTGGACTGTGTTGTCTGCAGCACGGACAGACAGCGGGACAGAGCTTCTCTCTGGCTTTTAGTTAGTTTTAGCTAGCTGAGGCAGAGGAGTTCCCTGGACCTTTGTTTTTTTCCAATTTTCTTGGATCTGTGCAAGCCTGCTCTGGACTGAACACCCAGCCAAACCCCGGGAGCTCACGCCTGTGGCCCACCGGGGCCTGGGCCTCGGCACTTTTCCAGCGCTGGAGAGACTGATAAGAACCTGAGCAAGCCGAGCTGCACCACATGAAAAGGACTTTTTCTTCCTAGATTTGCCATCCCATCAAACAGCAAGAGGTTTTATTATTTAGTATTACTCAATTTCTGTTAAATAAACAGCTTTTTCCACTTCTCTCCATGGAATTTTTTTTTTTTCTTTTCCCGGACCAGTTGGTGGGGAGGGGCATTTCCCTGTGGAAATCCCCATTTAGAGTTTTCCTTCCTGATTTGCCCTAAACTAGGACAGTTGGCCAGAGCAGCTGTGGCTGCCTCATCCCTGAAAGTGTCCAAGGCCAGGTTGGACTCTGGGGCTTGGAGAAACCTGGGATAGTGCAAGGTGTCCCTCCCCATGGCTGGGGGTGTAATGAGATGATCTTTAAGGTCCGTTCTAACCCAAACCATTCTTTGATTTTATGATTATTCTAGGCCTTGACAGTGTTGACAGATCTCCGCATTTTTCTCTGAAAGCTGGAGATGAGAAGCCAAATGTTCCAGCCAATTATTGTCTTGATTAGATAAAATCAATCATAGAAGCACAAAATATCCTGAGCTGGAAGGAATCCATCAAGACCATTGAGTCCAACCCCTGGCTCTGCACAGGACACCCCAACAACCCCACCCTGTGCCTGAGAGCCTGGGAGCATTGTCCAAATGCTCCTGGAGCTCTGGCAGCCTTGGGACCATGACCATTCCCTGAGAAGCCTGATCAGTGTCTGACCACCCTCTGGGGGAAGAACCTTTTCCTGATATCCACCTAAACCTGCCCTAAAACACTCCAGCCATTTTCTCGGGTCCTGCAACTGGTCACAGAGAGATGAGATTAAAACATGCTGTTTCCTGCCTTAAATGACTGCATGTTGTTCCTCACCATGTTTCACTCAAACACAGTATGTAAATAATCTCTCATCACTGGTGGGTTACAGAGAGGACACAACTTCCTCATGAAAATATGTCACAATTCCAAAGCAGGTCCTTGTTCTGAGTCAGAGAAAACATTCCAACTTCTGCTGGAGAGAACCACTGAAAATCTCTCTGGTCACTGAAAAACTTCTGGTCAATCAAAATGTTCTATTTTGACTGTTTTCTTTTCCAGTACATAAGAGACTGAAGTATAAAGCCCTTATAAAATGAAAAACTAAAAGGCCTCACTCTTGAACTTAAAATATTTTAGTTTGATACCTTTAGAGTACTTGTGAGCCCTTTAGATTTTTTTCAAGCTGTGCTTTAATTAAATCTTCAGTCTCAGGGAAGCTCAGTTCTTTGGTCTACCTCAGTAAATAGAATTACAGAATCACAAAATTATTTGTGTTGGAAGGGACCTTAAGGATCATCCATTTCCAACCCCTGCCATGGACAGAGACAGCTTACACTAGAACAGCTTGCTCCAATCCCCATCCAACCTGGCCTTAGACACTGCCAGGGATCCAGGGGCAGCCACAGTTTCTCTGGGCACCCTGTGCCAGAGCTCACCATCCTTACATGGAATAATTTCTCCCTAATATCTAAGCTACATCTACTGTTGGTGCGAAGCCCTTTCCCCTAGTCCTGTCCCTCCACATCCTTGTCCAATGCCCCTCTCCAGTTCTCTTGGAGAATCTTCAGGGACTGGAAAGTGCTATAACGTCATGAAATGGGGGCTTCAGCTGCTCTTTGCTTTCATCCATTCTTGGTGTAAGCCCATCCTGGAGGAGATGCGCAGCCACCTCTCCATTAAATCATGTTTCGTTGTGAGTTATTTTAGAGTTTCCAGCTTGCTCTTTTAGAGTGAAACACCTCCTGGGTGAGTTAAATATAAGGTAAATGGTTCAGAGGCTCTGGAAACCAGTTTTTGGGCAGCAAGGGACTTCATCTTATGCTGGGAGAGATGCTAAAGGTCACTTTCTGATAATATTGACACAGACTAAATGAAGCCATTAAAATAACCAATCTGCTGCTGCTATCTCTCACAAGAGACTGTCCCAGCAGTGAAAATAACTTATTCACTAGGGAAAACTCCTTGGGAGTGTCTAATTGGCCAGCTGAGGCTCTGCCTAATTGGAGTCTCTATTTTCCCTGACATTCATGATGCAGGAGCAAAATGCTCTTCTGAGCCCTGACTCTCCAGGGCTACTCCAATGCCTTCATGACCTCAGAGGGTTTGGATATTCCCATACAGTGCTGGAGGCAAGAAGCTGCCTGCAGCCTTCATTTCTTGACAGATTGTCCAGAAATATAAATATTTTCCCTGTTTCAAGCTATTTCCAACCCTTGTTCCCATCCCTGACACATCCTCACAGTTGCAGCAGGATGGTCTATGAGCCAGGAAAGTTGACCATTGGATAACTGCAGACAGCAGGATTCAGGCTGAAGTGTTGAAGGGGGAAAAATGAAATTGCAAAGGTTCTCCCAGCTTATTACCATGGGAGATAAGACACAGGGGATGAATCTTGAATGGGCTGGAAATCAACAGCAAGACCCTAGTGACTACGAGAAGTTTAAATCTCCTTCCTAGAGGAGCTGAGCAACTGCAGAGTGCTCCGTTTAGCTGGGTACAAAACCATCAGGAAGAAAACAGATTGGACATTGGCTTCCACAGCGAATTTGCCTTATGTTCCACTTATCACACTGTTGACATTATATAAATGATAACATTTTATGATTTTTTATGAACAAGCCTGCAGGTGACCTCCAGCTGCAGACTTGTGAAGCCACAATAATCACCCATACATCTGGATATTGATCTCCAAGAGAAAACAGGATCTGTGAACACGAAGAAAAGGGACAGTTTATTTTTTGGGAGGCATGACTTCTTGGGAAAGAAAGGCAGGGATCTTTCATCATAATGGTCATGGAAGAACCAGTTGTGAGGAGGCACCTCAGAACTGGGCCTAGGGAGGTGGTTGGGGACCTCTGGTACATAAAGGTCAAAGGAAGGAATTGAAGGTGATGTTGCTGCATTTGGACAAAGAAAACCCCCTGTGTAAGGACTGACTACATGGAGACAATGCAAAAAAGGCTGTGAAAATTCAGATAAGTAGTGAGCAAGGATTAACATAGAATCTTAGAATGGCTGGGTTGGAAAGGACCTTAAAGACCATCTTCTCCCACCTCCCTGACAGGGACAGGGACACCTTCCACTATCCCAGGTTACTCCAAGTCCCATATAGCTTGGTCTGGAGAACTCCCAGCGATTCAGAGGCAGCCACAGCTTTTCTCGGCAACCTGTGCCAGGGCCTCACCATTCTCACAGGTAAGAATTTCTCCCTAACATTGCATCTTAACCTAATGCTGTTGTAAAGCCATTCCCCATTGTACTCTCAACTCCTTCCCTTGTCCAAAGCCCCTCTCCAGTTCTTCTGGACCCCTTTAGGCACTGAACGGTGCTTTAAGGTCTCCCCAGAATCTTTTCCTCTCCACGCTGAACATCCCCAACTCTCAGCCTCTACAGGCACTACAACAGAGGACTTGGGTGCACCTTTCTGCCTCTTGTCTTGGAGCCCCTTGGAGGTCCCAGCAAAGGGTTCATCAGTACAGTCAGCTAGGACCAGTCCTCTCTTCTCTGGGCTTCAGCACTCTCCAGGAAGCCAAAGGTAAATGTGGCAGACCTCCATGAAAGAATGAATCAGAGACTCAACCAAAACTGAGAGGTCTGAAGAAAAACTCATCCCATCAACTGAATATCCCAGACACTTACTTGGAAGTTCAGAGATTTCTCATTTGTTTTGTATTTCCTGTTGCTCCCATCAATGTAGTTGGAAGTCAAAAACAACACTGGGTAATTTCTAGCCCTTGTTTTTCTCAAGAGCCACCAGATTGTCCTGAAGACATACCCCATCATTTCCCAGGAGGGGGAAAAGGAGTCATGGGTTTAGTCCTGTTCTTCCTGCCCATTTCCTACCCACCCAAATCCGCCTTGTAACCAAATCTGCCTGGGATGATGAGCAGGGTTGGCATCTGCTGGTCCACAAGCCACTGCCTCTACTAGGCAGACCTGATTCCTGAGGTGGCTGCTTTGATTCCTGCTGATAGGGCAGGTACCTGCTCTGCACTCCCTATGGATGTAGTGAAGCTGGGTTTCCAGAGGATTATTTATAGGGCATAGCATTATTTATGTTCCCCTATTCTCGCTGTCTTGCTGTCACGCCCTGAACTGCATTTCAAAATCACAATTTAGTAGCAGCAGATCTGTGATTTCATTTAATTTCATGAAATTAAATTAAACTTTTTGGAATGAAGAGAAATTTAAAGGAAATAAATTCTATGGAATTAAATTAAATTAAAAAAAATCATTTCATAGAGTTAAATGAAATTATGTGAAATTTTATGGAGTGAAATGCGATTCTAAAAAATGAGATTAAATTAAATTTCATGGAATGAAATTAAATAAAATGAAATTAAATACTTCAACTGGCAGATTTTTTGTTCATTTCCTTCAAAATATTTAGAGCTCTCAGTAGCTGATGTGCTGATATTAACATCTGCAATGCTACTTCTTTGAAACATTTAATTAATCTTATTCCACATAGAATTAAATGTCTCTCGAATTATTTATGACCTGATGAACTGTTTTCTTAACCACTACTCACGCTCAAGGGTCAAGATTCACAACTTGCATTACATTGGCAGCTCCACTGGACACGCAGACTCCTTGAAGTTGAACACTTGTGGCTGTGGACAGTACTAGGTAAGTCAAATCCTTGTAAATCTCTGTGGCATTTGCTCATATAACTAAATACATTAATGGATATTACATTGTGGCATCAGCTGGAATACTGCTCATTTAAAACAATTAAGCATTTCACTATCAAATAAAGCTTTCCTTTCTCTTCTGTCTCTGCTTTCCAGAGTTTTCAATAAGTATTGATATTTATTTCTGTAAACTCAAACTTACTCTAAATACGCAGAAAAAAGAAAAAAAATCAGTGCACTGTCAAAGCACCTAATCACTTATGATGGGCAAATCAGGGGCTTATTTCAAAAGCTCTCCAAAGAAAAATGTTAATTGAATTGTTGGAAGCCTCAGGATTCGTTAACTTGTTCCCATAACTGATGGGTAACTGGTGCCGCCGTCGGGAGGGGCGCACAGGGGAAGCCCCGGCCCGGCCACACCCGCGAGGGAGCGGGGACCGGCGGGAGGGCTGCTCGGGGCTACTCGGGGCTGCTCGGGGGTACTCGGGGGTACTCGGGGCTGCTCGGGGCTGTTCGGGGGTGCTCGGGGCTCGGTTCCCGGGCGTGGCCGCGCTTGCTGTGGTGCTCTCGGTGCCCGTGCCGTGCGGGGGCTGATCGGTATCTCCCCCTTTCCTCGGGGAGGGGACGAGGACCTCGAGACCCCCAAGCAAGACTGGGGTCCCTCAAGAGCGGGTGTCCGTGGGGCACCGAGGGGCACTGGGCCGCTGCTTGTGGCGAGTAGGGCGGCACGAGAAGCGCCGCCGAGCCGGGGCTCTGCCGCACCAGAGAGCGGCTCCTCCGGCCAGCCTGTCCCGTGCGCACCTCTGGCTTTTGGGGTGTTTGCTGCTGATGCCCCGCGCAGAAAGACAAAGTTTGACACAAACACTTATCTGGAGGTGTGAGGTGAGCTGACAGGGGGGCTGGCTCGGGTGGGCAAAGGCAACCTTTTGTTGGTCCTGGCCCGCTTTTCAGCCAAAATTGGGAAGGAGATCCTGTGCAGTGCTTACGGAGTATGATTTTGGGGCTGAATCATTCCCAGAGGTGTGTCTGGTTGAACAAGCTGCATTACAGCAACGTTCAAAAGGTCACAAATGCTGTAATTTGGATCTTTAAAAGACGATGCACACTGGAGGAAAGACGTTGGGAATAGGAGAGTCCCGCGGGGCTTGTGTCCCGCACTCAGGGACCGGAGGGCATCGATTACAGGTGTGCTTACACTTGACTGATTGATTGATTGATTGATTGATTGATTACAGAAAGCAGCCACCTGTACCCGGCTGGGAGGGTGAGAGCTGGGCATCTGCGGCAGGGCTGCTTTCAGGGGCAGGTTGTGGCTCCCCAGAGGTAAGTGCTCGCCCATCTGCTGGCTTGAACACCTGCATCATCCTTTCAAAGCTGTAGCCCAGAAATGTGTGTTTTCCAGTGCTTCAGGCTCCTGGGACTGATGGGTACAGGACAGGGAACACGGGGATGCAAAAGGGATGGCATACGAAAGTGTTTTGCTGAGGATGTTGTGACATGGGAGCTGGTCCTTCATGGTCAGCTTCGTGGGAAGCTTTACTGTGGCTGTTGTTACAAGGTAAATGGTTCTTTATGTGGGATCTTTTACTTTCTTTTCAAAAAGTGTTTGAGGGGAGAGCTGATGGCCTCCCCAAAAATCTCTTGTCAGGGGCAGCTCTAGCAGTACTTATACAATTTTTGGCTTTAGGTGTTAGTTTTGAGCTCTGCTTTGACACACTTTTTGCAGTGTGTGCTTGCCATGAAAACTGACTGTGCCCTGAGAATTTGGTGCTTTGCGGTAATGCTTTACTGTACCTCATGTCCAGCTCCCCCTTCTTTTTTATTCATGCCCTTTCCCCTCTCCGTTTCACTGGTTTGTATATCTTAAAGCATTTAGCTATGTTCTTTTCTGGCCTCTTGTGGAAAATAAATTGACAACTACATTAAATACTGATGTGGTTTTTTTGGGTTTTTTGTGCCTTGCAATGAGTTACAAAATGTTTTTACATCGCTTATCACTTTATCGAGGTGGTTGGTGAATAGTGGAGCTGCTGAGCAGCCCCATTGTCCTGTGGTGCTTTTCCATTTTTGTGCCATAGTGAGAGGATGGTAATAATAATTTAAAACCATGTATCAAATGCCTGTGGTAGCGTTTGTGGGCTCAGGACGCATGTGCAGTGTAGTTCAGCTGTTGCCATGCCTCATGTACAATCCTGGTTCAAGCTTCTATTTCAGGCATAACCTGATATAACCTGATTTTTTTTATTTTTTTTTTTTCCTAATTTGTAGACTTAACTGTTAATAGAATCATAGAACTCCAGAATAGTTTTGGTTGGAAAGGACCTTAAAGCTCATTTCATTCAATGCCCCTTTCCCCTCATTCCATGACACCTTCCACTAGACCAGTTTGCTCCAAGTCCAGTCCAACCTGGCCTGGAACACCTCCAAGGAAAACAATATTAGTCTTTTAGGCCACAGCTGGGACGCAGGGCTCAGGTGGCTCATTGTGAAAAATGAGGTTCACATAATTTTTATAGAATTTAAAAGTTTAATAAAAAAACAATTAGGAGAAAAAATAAAGTATACAGATACGGCCGGGTGTCTCTGCATTCAGCTAAGAGAGCACACCTTACTAACAAAGGATTGTCTCTTAAAAACAGAATCCTACTACATATCCATAAATTCTCACACATATTCAGACATTCTTCTTAGGATCTTTGGTGTTCTTCTGTTTAGTTTTCTCTTGCCCCCTTCCCAATAGATTAATTCTCTTGGTGCCATTGAGATTTACATTCTCTGATACCAGAAATGCAATAAATTCCTCCCCCCAGAGTTCTGGTCACTGCTGTCTTCATCTGGGTAAGAGAGTTTACAAATGCAGGAGTTCTCTAGCTATTTTTTTTTTCTAGCCTAACATATATGTATTATACTACTATTTCTAAATTTCATCAATAACAGAAATAAAGAAAACTATATTAATACCACAAAATTTCCCATTCTTATACACATAACATTCATTTTAATATTTGCGAAAAGTCAACAATATAAAATGTATCTATAACATCATCCAAGGAGAGGTTGCTTAGGTTCAAACCAATGTCACTCTTCATTTCTGAAGTTGGATTTTGTACAATAAAATTTTACATCAAAATTTGTACCACCAAAATAAAATCAAAAGAACCGAGCTTCTAGATTCTGCTATTAATTCTTCTAATGTGTTTGGGTAGTTAGAGGTGCAGGAAATGCCAAAACCCAAAGCAATTATACGTTTGTAATGTTAAGTGCAACAAGTCCTCAGTGCAGGATTTTCACATCAGTGCATATGGTCTGAAGCCTTTGTGTCCCAAAAGCCAAAAGAAACCTGCCAAAAGCAGGCCTTCATTGTGTATCCAGCATTGCAATTTGCCATTGGATTTCTCCCTCCAATCTTCTCTCGGGTTCTTGTGCCAAAGGGGATCTGACCTCAGAGCCACACAGAGTGTCTGTTGCCTTGATAAATGTAAATGAAACTTGCCAAGTCTGTCAGGAGAGCAAAAACATCCTGGGGTTTGTTTGGCCAAAGATGGAACATGAAGGCATTCATACTAGTAGTGGGTGTGCATGCAGACTGTTTTGGGTTGTGTGATGCCTCAGAAGTCAGGACAAGGCTGAAGGAAGGAGGGAAGCTGCCACAGCTGCAGGTGAGGGCAATACTTGCTGTTTCAAACTGCTTAGTCCAGAACTGGGAGAACTGGAAGAACAAGTTTTCTCTTCCTTTCTGTCCATCACCAGGCAGAATATTAAGATGTTGCTACAATCAACTCTTTAATTTGGGGGTTTTTTGGTTGTTTTTTTATTTCTTTAAATATCTTTATTTCTAATTTTTTCTAATTTTTTTTATTTCTAAGTGTTGCAGTGAGACACAAGTTTCTAGGTTACATGATTTGTGAGTGACATGTGTCACTCGGAGAGAAATGTGTACGTGTGTGCCCTTCCTGGTAAATCCAGATGTGATGAGGAAAACCTAAGTGAGGATTTCCAGCCTTGACATATGCAGGCCATGACACAGGCTTCTGAAAAAGCTTAGTGGCCCAACAGTAGGTTTTTTTGTATCAAATTTGGAGGGGGATGTGTTTATATCTGGGGACCACTCAGTTCATTGTACATGAAAGTTGTCCATCCCTGAAGTAGTGAACCTGAGCAGTTTTTGATAATTCCAAGTGATATGTCTTTAAGATTCTTAATACAATATGAAGTGGGTTTTTTTTAAGAGACCTATGTATGTTTGGGTATTTGTGTTTTCTACACAGTGTATCTGTTAGGCTGACAGAAAAGTGTTTTTTCACCTGAAAGTGAGTTGCAATAATCAACATCACACAAGATTTAATCAAACTTCATTTTTTAATCTTTTTTTCCTTTATAGATTGTGAATAGTCTGGGGGAAATATTTGGGGATAAATAAATGAAATGTGTTTAAGTATTTCCTTCCTAGAGGGATAGTTTATTTTGTTACAAATCCTCAAGCAAATGAAATCAAAGTCCAGGAAATGGATTTGCCTGTGGCTTCCTGCACTTCATAATCTGCTGCAACAGGTTTCTTTTGGCCAAGATAGCTATTTAGAAAGTGTAAACTATTGCTAAGGTGAGCTGAATATTTACAAATTATAAATGGTTTCAAAAGAATTGAATATTTTTTTCCTTTTGGTGTCATTTTGCCTAAGGCAGAGATGCTCCAATGTCTGTACCTTCTTCAAGCTTCTTTCCACGAAGGTGCCACATGGACACACATCCTCAAAGCACCAAATGTGGGGTGTTGTGTATGAAGGGAAAACCAAAGCAGCTCAAGGGCTGCATTCTTGTGCAGAGCAATTGTTCTGATCTGAAATATTTCCCTGACTGAAGCCAAGGGAGAAGTGCTGACCCCCACAAGGGACAAAGCAGGGTTTTCTGCCTGGGCCCCTCCAAGGTGGTGAGCAGAAGGTGGAGAACGAGGCCTTGGCAGGGCTCTGTCATGGTGAGCATGTGGCTTTCATAAACACACCTGCAGCAACTGAACATCTGCTAAAGCTACCTGCTTAAGAGTTTCTGTTGCTTGACTGCAGAAATCCTGATTTTGTTGGACTACAGACCTGCTTGAGGCCAGCAGGGCCCTCAGGATTCTGTGTTGAGAGGGTTAGATGGTGTCCCAGCATCCTTGTCATGTGGCAGCTGGCCCCCAGTCACTCACATCCCTCCAAAGTTGTAGTAGCCACTGTCGCTCAGTTCCTTTGACACCTATCCACTAGACCCATCCAGAGGCTTCAACCCCTCCCAAATCAGGGGGTTTCTGCCACCAAAGCAAGCTGCCAGCCTTCAAGAGCTTTTCTTTTCTCCCTCTCTAAACTGCTGTTGCACTGTGAAGTAGTTTCAAAAGTTGCTCCTGAGAAACTGATTTTCAAGTGTCTTTCATCATTATTGCCTGAGTAACAGTGTTGGGAATAAATGTATTTGCCTTAGACACCTTAATTATGTGGTTTTTTCCTCTGCCAATTTGTTTGTGTAGCCTCTTCCTTTTTCATCTGCCATCCCCTGAAGTTTTCTTTCATTGCTGCCATGAACTTGTGTGTTCATTGTTATTGTGTTTTTCCAGCTGTTAACTTTGGGCTGATCTCATCTTAAGCCCTTCACAGAGGAACTAAGGCACACTAAAAATCCCACAGCGTTCTTAGTCAGTTTTTTCCTGGTGACTGTATTTTGGCAATGGTGTAAGGTGAGAGGCTGTTTTCCTCATGCAAGGGGATGGAAGCATGTGCCCACAATCAAGGCTCTTTTCTTGTCTCACTTTGGGATGAGTGGTATGTGATTAGAGAATTGCTGTTCAGCTCAATTGTTCTGATCACAGAACTAGTTTATTTTGTATATGTGACCCAAGTCATCAAAAGGAAAGCCCTTGCAAGGCCTGATGTAGATTTAGACATGACACACACCTGTTTTAAGTAGGAAAAATGTAGCCAGAGCATCCTGACTGGAACTATTTTCTGTTTGATGCTGTGACAATTGAAGAGGATACTGATTCTTGTACCATCTACCTGCTGTTCATGGCATTTCAGTCTCATGTGCATTAGAGCATCTTTCTCTTGGACTATTTGTCTCTGTTTTTCTTCCCTGCTGTTGTATGTGCAGTTCTGGGTGGATCTACTTGTGGGTGACCAACCTGTACCTGCTCCCCACATCCCTGCAGGACAGCAGGAGAAGCATCAAGCATTTCACTTTGCACTCTGCAGGTTAGCCAGACAGGGCAGACACAGCAAGCTCCTTGTTTTGGGTCACTGCAGGAGTGGAATGGGATACTGGACTTGATTCCTGAGGATCACCCTGCACAGGCTGTTGGCAATAGCAGTACTCCTGCCATCAGGGAGCTGGCATTGGATCTGCTGTGATCTCAGCCTCCTACCTAGCCTCTGAGGTGCCGAAGCAAGACAGATTGGCTGTGGCATCCTTGGGGTGCAGTAAGACAAAATAGGTATTGTATCACATTTATTTTTTAAAAAATCTGCCATTCAATTATTTTGGGTTTAAAACTGCCTGAAACCTGTTCTGAAAATTATACTGTGTCTCATCTCTTTAATATACCTACTGCTTTTTATATCTTATGGGTGCAGTCTTGATTGCTTTTCCACAGAAACTGGTAGGCTGACCTCACCTGAATTGCAGAAACACACTTTAGATAGCCAAAGTTTTTTTTTAAAGAAAGAACTCAATGTGGAAACTCCAAGAGTTCTGTGAGCTTTATTGGTTTTGGTCTTTATTGAGCCACATCTTTAAATAATGATGTTCATGCATTCTATAAACAACATTAAATAGATTTTGCACTCTCTCATGAGATCTTTAAGCCCAAATTTTCCAATATCTCTGTCAATACAGCAGCAGAGTTTGCATTAATTGCAGGTTCAAGCTGACAGTGTCCCATGAATCTCTTGTTCATTGATCTGTTTGCCATGTTCATTTCATCTGGATCCAAAGTTAGATTTTTGGAACAGACGGTGTACCTCAAAACACAAGGCTTGTTTAAACTTTTTTTCTCTATTTTGTAAATACAGAGGGTAGGTAACTTATTTGTCTTCTTGTCGTACTACAGAATGGAATTAAGAAGGTTCCTGCAATATCCCGATTGAAGTTGGAATGTTCAAGAATATCGGTGTGACAGTTCCCAGGGATGAATCTTGTGCTCAACAGTCTGTAGCGTGGTAGCGTAGGACACAGCAGAGCAGGGCCTGAGGGACCAGGACTGTTTTAATGTGGAGCAGTTTTAGCTGGGGACAGCTGTGGGACCTGCCTGTGCTAATTCTGTTTTTTCTGAAGGTGTATCAAAGTGTGCTACCAAAATGGCTATTTTCTCCTCTGAAAATTAATGCATGTATGTGTTTTAATCATGTAACCAGATGGACTAAGAATTTTACTTTCCAAGCAACACCAGTAGTAGATTTCTGCTTGGTTTGTGTCTGTGAGATGTGGGATTTGTGCTGGAGAGGTGCTGTTGGGAAGAAAGGATGGAATAAATTTGCTCCAGGGATACGCAGTGAGGAACTGAGTTTCAGGGAAGGGGAATGTTTATAAACTGTATCGATATTTCCCTGAAACTGGGGCTGGATGGGGGTGCTTGGGTTTGGCCTGGGCCTGTGAGGATGAGCCGTAAACAACCCAACCAAGCCCCTGAACCCTCCATGGATGTTTGAAACATTTCCACAGAAAGGCAAGGCAGTCATGATTCCAGAAGAAAAATTATTGGTAATTGCTTATGGTAAGTGGGAAATTTTCATTGAAATTATTAATCAGAGAGTTTATTGAAGCAGAGCATTTCTTTTGGCTCTTCTTCTGGTATGTCATTTCCTCGCTGGCTTAAATTAGTTTTGTGTGCTCTTGTCAAGGAAGCAGCATGTTTTTATTTGGGGTGGGATTTGAAAGCTTCTGGCTGTTTTACACAGATGCTTTGGTTTTGGGTCAGAGAGAAACAAGGGAAATTACTTTTTATTATCTTTAAATTTTTCAAACTAAAGTGGGACATTCTCTTACCCCTCCCCAAAGCACTGCAGGCACATGGGAGTAGCTCAGTGCTGGCCCAGTTCTCTGAGAAATAACAGCATTTGAGGGGTGTCACGATCCGCAAGGTGGGATTCGTCATGTGGTTCTTTTAGTCGGTCTTAGAGTACAAAAGATTATCAGCAAACCAAGGACTTAAACAGCAAAACACACTTTATTGAGTGCTCATCAGCACTAATATGCAATAGAGGGAAAAGAGGAGAAAGCAAAGCATAAGAAAAGAGAGTAAGGGGATTAGAGCTGCCAACGTCAAAGTCCACTCAGCCGTCCAACGATGCAGAGTCTTCTGTCCGTTGGGGAGATCTCAAAGGAAGGTGAGTTTGGGGTATAATTTTATAGTCTTTTGCAAAGCGAGGGGCGCAGGGCCAAAACCAGATGAGATTGATGATCATTGTGATGAAATTCCATTGCGCGGGGAGCAGGTGTAGGGTACAGAGCGATCCATGTCTTGCAAGTCTTTGCTCACCAGCAGGAATGAGGGCAATGTACTGTGCAACCACCTGCAAACAACCAAGCAAACATCCACCTCAGCTAGGCCCAAACCCCTAAACCAAGTCCCTTGTGATATTCAGGGTCTCAGTCTCTGTCCTTGAGATGGTTGTGAGACAGATGAATCTTCGGACCATCTTTTACAAGGGGTTTAAGTGTTAATAACAGCGCTTTGTCTCTTGGTTGCAAAGATTCAGTCCTACAGTCCCACTGTGATGAAGAAAAAAAAAGGAACTGGTATTTGTGGGAAACCTTCTGTTATTCCTTGTGCAGACTTTTAATTCTGTTGTCTGATTTACTGTCCAGTATCTTTCTAACAAAACCTTAGATAAGGATTTAACAAATCCTTAGATAAAGGATGAGGAGTTGGGTCTGTTCATTACAAAATTTTCCAAAGCCTGAAGGACTGGGGTGGTGACTGCTTTCAGCAAAGTTTATTTATTAACATGATGTCAGATTTCCCTCAGCCCTGGAAACCTCTGGGATTGTGTTGGAGGTCAGAATTCTGTCTGTGTTTGAGACTGATCCAGGTGAATGTTTACCTGCAGGTGTGGGATTTAGCCCCAGACACTGAGTTTAAATAGGATCAAGGTGACAGACCCTGCATTTTGTTGTATCAGGAGAGTTTATATCCCCACCCATGGCAGCGCAGGGAGCAGAATTAAGCCTGCACCTCCCATGGCCATTGCTGGCCTTTGTCTCTCTGTTGTGCCTTCAGACCATGGGAGTTTGCTGCTGTCACTGCCACTGCAACCCTGCCTGGGGGCTGAGTCCTTCTGGCAGCCCTTGCCAGCCCCACACACAAGCTCCAGGGGTGTCTCTGTGCTGTGTTGGGAGTGTTTGCTGGGAATATGCCCCATCCCTGGGAGTATCCTTTTGTTCCTGGGCAGCCGGACAGAGCTTTTGGGCTTGTCAGCTTCAGAGGTTGATTGCAAAAGTCACTAAAAGGAAGGATGACAGCGAGGTTTGTCAGAGTGATGCTGTCAGACCCCACTGGACAGTCTGTGCTTTTTGTCGGAGGTTGTTGTGTATTTGCAATGCAGGGAATGACTGCCCCCTTCCCAATTCAGGCCAGAAGGTCCCAAAGGCTCTTATAGGGAATATTTCTTCTTTACGTTCTTTCATTTGTGCTAACATAATCCCCAAATTGCCGTGAGCAATTCCTTAATTTCTCCTGGAGAAAACTACATGGCAGAGGCAGTTTGTAAAGGAGCCCAGAAATGTGTTTGGAGAAGAGAGTGCTGTGAGTGCATTTGCCTGTGCTCTTATTCCAGGAAAAAAAAATGCACTATGCCAAGTCTTTTTCAGTTCTTTCACCTAGAAAAGCTCTTCCTGTCATACAGGGAGCAGGTGTTTATTTCTTAAGTGCTCGGACTGGACCGGGACCACTCCACAGCTGAGGAAGAGTTTCGCTTTTCATTTTTCCAGAAAGAAGCGGGAAAATCATGAACTTACATGTACAAATGGTTGGAGAGAAACTTGGAAGAAGTCTTGCAACCTGTTGATGATTTATTGCGGTCTGGCATTTGCTCGCTCAATGCCCTAAATCGTCCCGCTGGCCGTGCGAGGGCCGAGCAGGGCCCCGGCACCGCCGGCTCGGCAGTGACGCACGCGCGGCTACTTTCGGTGACTCGCCGGTGCCACCTGCTGGCGGAGAGCGGCGCTGCCGGCAGCGCGGGAAGCGCCCGGCGGGGCCGGCCCGGGGCTGCGGGAGCGGCTCGGGA